CCAGCCCGACCGCCCGATCGATTCGAGCGGTACACGCTCCTTAATTCTCCCATGGAACAAGTCCTCCACTAGATCCAACGGGACTACCCCCTCAAATGGCCCCTACCCTCACGGACCCCTTCCAACCGGAAAGACCAGTCCAAATATTGCCGTTTCCACCAGGACTATGGCCACAACACTAATGACTGCATCAACCTCAAGGATCAGGTCGAGACCCTCATTCGTCAAGGGCATCTCAGCCGGTTCACGGACACCCGTCCACAGCAAAGGCAAAGAACTGAACCCCTCAGAAACAACTGCCAGCGTACCCCACCCCGGCAGCCAGCCCAACCTAACCAAGGCCATGATCGCCCCTCACAACAGCCTCGGCCACTAGGTAATCCCCCTCCGCCAGTTGGTGAAATCCGAGTCATTTCAGGTGACCTTGCTTGTGGCGGACCATCCCGCTCCGCTCAGAGGGCAGAGCTCAGGAAGATAAGGCAAGGCTCGGATAGAGCAGTTGCCACGGTAGACCGACCCTCCAAACAGCCCAAGCAGTGGACAGAGCCCATCACCTTCACGGACGCCGACTGTATAGGTATCCGTTATCCTCATGATGACCCTCTCGTCATTTCTGCCATCCTCTCCAACTATAAGGTCAGACGGGTTCTCATCGACAATGGTAGTTCTTCAGACATCATATTCTTCAACTGCTTCCGCCAGCTCAAGATTGGGAAGGAAAGCCTGTCTCCCCTTCAAACCCCTTTGATCGGTTTCACTGGCGACCAGGTGACCTCCATCAGCTCCATCGATCTCCCCCTCACTATCGGCGAATACCCACGGTAGACTACCAAGTTGGTCACTTTCCTTGTGGTCGACTGTCCCTCTGCCTACAACTTCATCCTTGGCTGCACTGCCCTCAACGCTTTCCAAGCCATCACTTCAACCTACCACCTCGCCGTAAAGTTCCTTACCGACCTGGGCATCGGGATAGTAAGGGGAGAGCAGACTGTAGCCAGGGAATGTTATGTCACCTCACTCAAGGAAGTCAAGCTGAAGGAGGCCATGATCATTGAAGGACTTGACGTCCGCGATGAGGACGAGCTGGTTAGAGGAGAACCGGTTGAGGAACTTGTTGAGGTTCCCATCGATCCCACTGACCCTATGAAGACTGCCAAGATCGGCAGCTAACTATCCCCTCAAGATAAGGCCGACCTTACCGCCCTTTTGATCGAGCATAATGATGTGTTTGCCTGGACCCATTCAGACATGCCAGGCATCGACCCCTCTTTCATAACTCACCACCTCAGCATCGAACCCCATTTCCGACCTTACCGCCAGAAGCAACGCATCTTTCATCCAGAGTGCAATACACTTATAGCCGCAGAGGTTGACAAGCTCCTTGAGGCCCAATTCATCAAAAACGTGGATTACCCTAAATGGTTGTCAAATGTGGTCCTAGTCCGCAAGAACAATGGCAAATGGCGACTCTGTGTCGATTACTCTGACCTAAACTGAGCTTGTCCCAAAGACAGCTATCCTCTTCCCCGCATAGATCTGCTGGTCGACGCCACGGCTGGTCATCAAATGCTCAGCTTCATGGATGCTTTCTCTGGGTACAACCAAATCCTGATGCACCCGTCCGATCGGGAACATACATCCTTCATTATCGACCGAGGTACCTACCACTACCGCGTGATGCCATTCGGACTGAAGAATGTTGGGGCTACCTACCAACGGTTGGTCAATGCTGTTTTCCATCATCAGATAGGTCGGAATATGGAAGTCTATGTCGATGACATGCTAGTCAAGAGCAAACTCTTTATTGATCATTTGTCCGACTTGCGAGAGACATTCGCCACCCTACGCAAGTACCAAATGAAGCTCAACCTAGAGAAGTGCGCCTTCGGCGTAGGATCTGGGAAGTTTCTAGGTTTTATGGTCAGTCAGCGGGGCATTGAAGCTAACCCTGAAAAGATCAAGGCCTTGACTGAGATGCAGTCACCGAGAACGGTTAAGGAGGTTCAAAGGCTCACTGGCCGAGTTGCGGCCCTCAACCGCTTCATTTCCCGCGTAACAGATAAGTGCCTACCATTCTTCAAAATTCTTCAAAGTTCACTGGCGAGCCCCTCTTCCTCTATTTAGCCGTCTCAAGCATCGCAGTCAGTGCAGCTCTTATTAGGGAAGACGACTCTGTCCAACGGCCGGTCTACTACATCAGTCGGGCTCTCAGGGGAGCAGAGCAGAACTACCCGCTGTTAGAAAAATTGTCCTTGGCCTTGGTCACCGCCTCCAGACGACTCCGTCCTTACTTCCAGGCCCATTCCATAGTGGTTCTCACCGACCAACCATTGAAGAAGGTCATGCAACAACCAGAACTTTCCGCCAGACTCATGTAGTGGTCAGTGGAACTTAGTCAGTTTGACATTTCCTACCGACCTCAAACAGCAATTAAGGGACAGGCTGTCATGGATTTCATCCTGGAATTCACTAATCCTACCCCAACCGCTGCGCCCCCACCTCCACCAACCCCTACCGAGCCAGAAGACCCGCATTCATGGACTCTCAACGTGGACGGATCATCCTACAGGAAAGGTAGTGGGGCTGGCCTTATTCTCACCGCTCTTGAGGGTGGCTATTTCAAATGTGCTCTCCGTTTCTTGTTTAATGCCAGTAACAATGAGGCCGAATATGAGGCATTGATAGTAGGACTCCACCTCGCCAAGGACATTGGAGTCAGCCACATCCGGGTGTTCAGCGACTCCCAGCTCATCGTCGGTCAGATTACGGGGGAATTCGATGCCAAGGAGGACACAATGCGGGCTTACAAGGATATGGCCATCCCCCTTGTTCGCCTCTTCAATACCTTCCACATCAAGCACATACCTCAGGCAGAAAACTCCAAGACAGACGAGATGGCTCAGTTGGCCTCTGCAGACCAGTCCGACCTCAGCCACGGTGTCCGCCTCGAATACCTAGCCCACCCGGCCATCTCACCCGACATACAAGAACTGCAGTTCCTCCAAAACAAACCCATCCCTTGGGCCTCCGACATCTTCCTATTTTTGACAACGGGGGAACTCCCAGATGACCAACAGCAGGCCGCCAAAGTCAGGGCCCTGTCGTCTAATTACATCCTGGTTAGTGGCGTCTTATACAAACGAGGTTGTTCATGCCCATACCTGCGATGCCTCAATTCGGCTCAAGCAACCTATGTAATGCGGGAAATCCATGAGGGAATTTGTAGCAATCATTCGGGCGGCAGGTCTCTGGCCCACAAAATACTCCATACTGGTTATTTCTGGCCAACTCTCAATCAAGATGCGACTGATTTCGTGCTCAAATGTGATAAGTGTCAACGTTTTGCCAACATCCCCCATGCTCCTCCTACAGAGTTGATCACACTTTGCAGCCCCTATTCGTTCGCCAAAATGGGGGATCAACTTGGTCGGTCCACTTCCCACCGGTCGAGGTCAGACCAAGTTCGCGATCGTCGCCATTGATTACTTCACTCGTACCAACAGAAAATGAGAACACACTACAACCAGAAAGTCCGACCAAGGGAGTTCGCTGTAGGGGATCTTGTCTTGAGAGAAGCAACTCTTGCCACCAAAAATCCGACTGAGGGTAAACTGGCAGCCAAATGGGAGGGACCTTACGTTGTGAAAGCCAGACCACGTCCGGGCACCTACCGACTTCAGGACATGGAAGGACGAGACCTCCTCCACCCATGGAACGCCGAACACCTGAAACGTTACTTTCAATAAGCTCCTACTTTTGTGTCGCTCAGTTATTGTGTTTTCTTTCCAGCAAATTTACGCATTCTTGATATCTCCTTACGTAATGTAACTTTTTAATTAACTGGGTTACAGTTCCCCTGCCATTAATTATATATCTCAGTTTTTTGTATGGTGTCTCAATGGTGTTCTGATTGCAGCACTCATGAAAAGCCTCAGCCAGACTGAGCATCAACAAGCCTCAGCCAAATTGAGCATCAACAAGCCTCAGCCAGACTGAGCATCAAAAAACCTCAGCCAGACTGAGCATCAACAAGCCTCAGCCAGACTGAGCATCATAAAGCCTCAGCCAGACTGAGCGTCATAAAGCCTCAGCCAGACTGAGCATCAACAAGCCTCAGCCAGACTGAGCATGATACAGCCTCAGCCAGACTGAGCACTAAAAAGCCTCAGCCAGACTGAGCATAAAAAAGCCTCAGCCAGACTAAGCATCAAAAAGCCTCAGCCAGACTGAGAATCAAAAAGCCTCAGCCAGACTGAGCGTCATGCAGCCTCAGCCAGACTGAGCATGAAGCACTCGTCCAGACCAAGCCTCAGCCAGCCTAAGCATAACAAGTCTCAGCCGGACCGAAAGCCACAATTTCAGGTTCAGATTGAGTTCCTTACGACTTCAGTGAATCATAGCTTAGCCCCAACTGAGCACGCGTTAAGGGCTCGGTCAAAGCCATCTATGCAACCTTCATGCTTGTGGAATTAGTAGACACACTTGGTCACAATTCCAGATCCAAGTCTTTACACCACTCTTTGCTTAGTCAAATTCCAAAGACCTCCTTACACATTTTCTTTACAAGTCAGGTTATCTTCTTTTCAATCAAACTATTACAGGTCAGCCTATTTCCTTACAAGAAAAGCCTCACTCCAATAAACCACTAATCTACTTCAGCAGTGTGGCAAACACAAACTTATAATTTTATTACATTTTAAATTTCACTCTGCATTGAGGAGTTCTTAACTTTACTCTGCATTGAGTCTTTATTACAAGTCCAATTTCACTCTGCGTTGAGGAGTTCTTAACTTTAATCTACATTGAGTCTTTATTACAAGTCCAATTTCACTCTGCATTAAGGAGTCCTTAACTTTACTCTGCACCCAGTTTCTATTACAATTTCAATCCCACTCCGTCTTGAGGAATTCCTAAATTCAGTTGTTATCACAAGTTTTCATCCGTTTCAGACGCACAAGCAAACACAGTCCAATGCAAAACAAAACTGAAATTTTATTTATTCACAACTTTGTACATAAGTTCATTACAGCAATTCACAGAAAAAGGAAACAAACAAAACAAAACAAAACAAAAACAATGTCTGTGCAAAGTCTTCTCCTTCTTCTTCTCCAGTTACTCCTCCTCACTGGAGATGAGGTCTTCTTCTTCAATACCCTCATCCAGGGGCGTTTGGGCCACATCATCCTCACCAATTGTTACACTACTGAGGTCTAAGTCTGGGAACAGTTCTTCAGCTCTACGTTTGAACATCTTCCAGCCACTGTCCCAAAACTTAGCAATTTCGTGTTTGTAGAAGTCTGACCGCTAGAAACTCTCAATAACTTCTGCTTCCGTTCTGCCTCCAGCGGTCGTCCTCGATGGGGCCCCCCAGATTCTTGCCTAGCCAAGCTGCTGGCGACCGCGGCATCAATGGCCATCTGAAATTCAGCAAACCCTTTGAACTGCTCCACTGCTGCGATGCATAGATCGGGGTAAGCCGCCCTTTCAGAGGCTGCCTTCGCCCTCTCTTCGTCCAGCTCCCTCTGCAGGGCCGCCCTTTCAGACGCAACCTTGGCCCTCTCCTCCTCCAACTCCTTCTCCAAGCTCTTCTTTTCCGCCGTCGCCTTAGCTCTCTCTACTGCCAGCTCCTTCTGAAGTCTCCCCATCTCCTTCACTGCCTTGGCACGTTTGCCTTCCAGCTCCTTCTTTAGATCGCCAATCTTCACATCTGCCTCATCTTTCTGCCTGACCAGCTCTTCGTTACTGCTCAATGCCTCTTCATGTCATTCCACTGCGACTGCGCAGGTTTTTTGGGCCTCGTCCAACCTCTTCTGCTCGCCATCCAGTTAGAACTTGAGCGACACAACCTGGCGGCATGTGTTCTCCAGCTCCACCTTGACCGCCTGCAAATCAGCATGGGTAGCCTCCTAACTTGCACTCTTCTTCTTCAACTTGGCAAGCTGAGTTTTAGCTTCCTCTGCCTTGAGTTTGGCAGCCCCCGCCTTCCTTAGCAGAGCCCCCGCTAAGGTGGTCACCTCCATTTGGGCGGGGCATAACCCCCTCAGCAGTTCAGCCTCATTGAACCTGGCTGTTGAGCGCAAGGCTGCCTCTTCTACAATTCCAACAAGGCGGTCTGTCCCTACCCTGGCTGGGCCTTCTTCTCCCTCCAGCCGCCCAGCCACTGCACGAGCGTGGTAGATCACAGTGGTCAGGCTAACCCCCCCTTCATGGGGTACAGGACCCCCCTGCGGCTGTTCTTCCCTCCTTGGCTCAGGGACAGTTGCCTCACCTTCTACCTACACTTCAGGGGCAACCCTCGCGACCCCTGTGGCGATCGCCACCACTATTGGAACGACTTCCCTGACCTCTGAGGCTATGTCCACCGCCTCTAGGGCCATTACTCTTCCTAGGGTCTCCCCCACTTCCCCCCCTCTGCCTACTTCGCCATGCTGGTCCCTTCACCCACCACTTCCCTCCTCCTCTTCAAGGCAAGCTCTTCTTGACTCCCCCCCACCCTCATCTTCTTCTTCTTCTTCAGAGCATCCCTCTTCTTGTTCGCCCATTCCTTCACAGCATCCACTGGGGGTGGTCGGGGCACAAAACTGCCTAAGTCTTTCTCCCCCAACGGCTTGGGGCGCGGTCGAATCCGCTCTCTCGCGACCGGCTTCGGGGCAGGCCCCAGTTGGGACTCCTTGTACTTGTCCGCCCGTGCAAACAACCTCCTTTCCTCCTCCTCCTCCCTTTCTGGACCCCCTCCCAACGGTTGTGGTCCCAAGTTTAACGCAAACAGAACCGACGATAGGACAAGCTCGTCCCACCTTACTCCCTTCTCCTCCCTCCAATCCCTCACCCTCTGCACTCGGTCCTCAGTAGCCTTGTCCAGCTTGGGCTCGACCGATTTGGTGGGCACCTTCTAAGTTGTGTGAACTCCCGCCCCGCCGTTTGCCGTTACAAAGAACCACCTTGGCCTCCAACCTTTTACCGAAGATGGTAGACCCGCCACCAAACCTCGTCTAGCCACCGCCTGCAGTGTAACCCAACTGTTTTGCTGGCCGGAGGCCTTGTAGCACGAGAAGAACTCATCTACCGTCAAGGCCAACCCTCCCATTGCTTGCGGCCAGGAACTCGCGCACGCCATCAATATTTTCCAGGCGTTTGGCATCAACTAACCTGGTGCCGCATCTAGTTTATTCAACACATCAACTACAACTTGAGGCAGCGGTAGCCTCACACCTCCCCACAATGCCTCCTCATACAAGCTAAACTCCCCTGTTCGTGTATCCGACACCCTCTCGGTAGATGTCGGCAGCCTCAACCCTATTCCCAAAGGAATTGGTACTTCCCCTTTATTCCCTCTAACTCCGCCGGTGTAAGAGTGGATCTGTCTGCCTTTGTGTGCCAATGATCTGGTTCTGCCTGGCTGATTGGCCTCGGAGCCGCTATCAAGGTGGAACATTGGGATCGTCCCACCAATTCCCCCACCCTCTCCGTCCGGTACTGCTGCGCCAACTCCACTGTATCATCATCACCAAGTGGATCCACCATGACATTTGCAGTTTCTTCTTGGGCCATCTCTATGGTATGTCCGCGAATCACTTCGGATGCAGGTGCAAGGAAATTGAAAAAGTGTTGCAGAGGCGTATCGTGAGCAACAAAGGAATTAACACTTGGAATGTCTTGACTTTTTGTAAACAAGTAGGTGAATCGAATGATGCCAAAAGCCCACGGTTTGCCCGTATTCCAAGGATCCCAATTAATTTTCGCCAGTTTGAAAACTTTTCAAATCATCTGCCAAAATTGTCTTTTCAACACCCATAATGACCTATCGTTTTATCTCTAATCTAGCGTCTAATCTCTCTCTCCCCCCCCCCGCGGGATGTTGCCACGTGTACTACCACGATCCACTGTCTCCTCCCCTTACCCTGTCAACGTTTTTGTCAACGTTTTCCAAGACAAGTTCTTACTCCCACGGTTAGGAAGAAGTTGAGGGAGCGATTCTTAAAGCTCAAGCAGCTCAACATGCTTGTCGCTGAGTTTGAGGCAGGCTTTACTAGTATCTCTAGGTTTGCACCAAAGTTAGTAGCGACAAAGGAGCGCCATTGTGTGGAGTTTGAGAAAAGATTAAGGATCGGGCTTCTTTTCAAGGTAACCGATTCAATTATTAGAGATTACGAGTGACTTGTAGAGTTGGCGGCTCATCTTCAGACTATGGTGCAAATGAAGGAGGAGCAAATAAGAGGTTCCAGGAGGAGTCAAGATGTTCAACGGAATAGAAAGTGGTAGAGGGGTTATACCCCACAGCAGTCCAAGGGAGCTCAATTGAGGTCCACTTTTCCAGTACCGAGTTCAGATTCTAGGAGAGGTGGTCAGACATATTTCACTTGCTTTAAATGTGGTCAGTTAGGCCACAAGTCTCCAGCTTGCCTGCAAAGAGGAGGTGGGTAGCGGTCTGCATCATCTTCAGCTCGTTCTTAAAGCTAGAGTTAGAGAAGAGGGGATCTGTCTACTTGTTATCAATGTGGGCAGGCAGGGCACTTGAAGAGGTTTTGCCCTCAGTTAAGTGGCACACCTGGTACGTCTGGTTCAAGGCAGACATAGAGCCACCAACCTGCATAGTCAGCACAGGCCTCGACGGCTAATTACGGATCCTCTTCGGCTTAGTCAGTGCATCAGACGTATGCTCTGAAGGGTGAGCAGATGGAGCAGAGACATTCAAGGCATGTGTATGTTGTTACCATGCCAAACTTAGTGTCAGCACCTTCACTTGTGGGAGGTACTTTCTTGTTATGCAATTTTATTGTCAATGTGTTAATTGATATGGGTGCATCTCATTCATTCATCTCGTCTATATTTGCATTGGCATTGGGGTTAGAGTTAGCTCAGTTAGCATCTCCACTTAGTGTAGAGTCACCTATTGGTGGTGAGATTGTTTTGGAGCAGGGGTGTTGGGGTTGTGAGATAGCGGTTGCTGGTCGCCGACTTCCTTTTACGTTTGTATTGATTGACATGTTGAGTTTTGATGCTATTTTGGATATGGATTGGTTGTCATCGTATCGGGCTGTCATAGATTGTTACCATCACAGGGTTACTGTATGTATCTTGAGTGGTGATTGTTTTTATTTCATAGGGGACAGAGCCGATGGAGCTTTATTACCAATGTATGATTCACGTAGTCGAAGTGAGCATAGCTGTCTTCTTGCGACCTTCTTGGGTAGTAAGTGTGATGAAACCCAAGTTAATTTGCCGAGGGTAGTTTGTGAATACCTGGACAGTTTTCCTGAGGATATCACTAGTTTACCATCTCACCATGAGATTGAATTCTCAATTGATTTAGTGTCTGGCACGACACCGATCTCCATGGCATCGTATAGATTTGCACCCACTGAGCTGAGTGAGTTGAAGATTTAACTCCAGGAATTGTTAGACAAGGGTTTCATCGGCTCTAATACGTCACCTTGGGGAGTACCAGCCCTTTTTGCTAAGAAAAAGGATAATGCTTTATGACTTTGTATTGATTACCGAAAGTTGAATCGGGTAACTATTAAGAACAAATACTCAATGCCTTGTATAGATGATTTGTTTGATCAGTTGAAGGGGTCCTGTTGTTTCTCTAAGATAGATCCAAGATCAGGTTATCACCAGTTAAGGGTAAGGAAGGAAGATATTCAGAAGACAGCATTTCGTATGTAGTATGGTCATTATGAGTTCCTAGTGATGCCTTTTGGGCTAACCAAATTGGTGGTGAGATTGTTTTGGAGCAGGGGTGTTGGGGTTGTGAGATAGAGGTTGTTGGTCGCCGACTTCCTTTTACGTTTGTATTGATTGACATGTCGAGTTTTGATGCTATTTTGGATATGGATTGGTTGTCATCGTATTGGGTTGTCATAGATTGTTACCATCACAGGGTTACTGTATGTATCTTGAGTGGTGATTGTTTTTATTTCATAGGGGACAGAGCCGATGGAGCTTTATTACCAATGTATGATTCACGTGGTCGAAGTGAGCATAGCTGTATTCTTGCGACCTTCTTGGGTAGTAAGTGTGATGAAACCCAAGTTAATTTGCCGAGGGTAGTTTGTGAATACCTAGACGTTTTTCCTGAGGATCTCACTAGTTTACCATCTCACCATGAGATTGAATTCTCAATTGATTCAATGTCTGGCACGACACTGATCTCTATGGCATCGTATAGATTTGCACCCACTGAGCTGAGTGAGTTGAAGATTTAACTCCAGGAATTGTTAGACAAGGGTTTCATCCGCTCTAATACGTCACCTCGGGGAGTACCAGACCTTTTTGCTAAGAAAAAGGATAATGCTTTATGACTTTGTATTCATTACCGGAAGTTGAATCGGGTAACTATTAAGAACAAATACCCAATGCCTCGTATAGATGATTTGTTTGATCAGTTGAAGGGGTCCTGTTGTTTTTCTAAGATAGATCCAAGATCTGGTTATCACCAGTTAAGGGTAAGGAAGGAAGATATTCATAAGACAGCATTTCGTATGCAGTATGGTCATTATGAGTTCCTAGTGATGCCTTTTGGGCTAACTAACGCACTTGCCGTATTTATGGATTTGATAAATCGAATCTTTCACTATTTCCTAGATAGTTTTGTAGTGGTCTTTGTTGATGATATTCTGATTTACTCACTTTCCGAGGAAGAACACGAGGAACACCTACGAGTTGTGCTTGAATTACTTAGAGCCCACAAACTATATGTTAAGTTTGGAAAATGTGAATTCTGATTGAGTAAAGTAAAGTTCTTAGGCCACGTGATATCTGGGGAATGAGTGACTGTAGATTCATCCAAGATAGAGGTAGTACAAGATTGGGAACAACCCAAGAATGCCTTTGGGATCCGTAGTTTCTTGGGATTGGATGGGTATTACCGCCGGTTTGTGAAAGATTTCTCTAGATTAGCGTCACCATTGACTAGACTGACATGGAAAGGAATTAAGTTTGTGTGGCGTGAGACCTGTGAGAAGTCACTTCAAAATCTTAAGGTTAGACTTACCACTATTCTAGTATTGATTATTTCGGAAAGGGGTTTAGGCTATTCGGTGTATTGTGATGTTTCACGGGAAGGTTTGGGTTGTGTATTGATGCAAGAGGGGAAAGTAGTAGCTTATGGCTCACGACAGTTAAAAACACATGAGAGGAACTACACTACTCATGACCTAGAGTTAGCAGTAGTGATCTTTGCTTTGATGATTTGAAGGCATTATTTGTAGAGTGAGAAGTTTGAAGTATTTTCTGATCACAAGGGTCTGAAATATCCGTTTACATAGAAAGACTTAAATCTGAGGCAGAAAAGGTGAATGGAGTTCAAAGAAGATTATGATTTCGAGTTGCATTATCATCCGGGGAAGGCTAATGTTGTGGCCGATGGCTTAAGTAAGAAATCCATTGGTAGTGTAGCTAGTATTTCCATTTCGGAATGGGAGATGTTGGGTGCTATTGGTGAGTTTGGCCAATATCTTGGCGAGTTTGTTGAGTCTGCAGCCTTGTTTTTGGTAGTTACACAACCTACACTTGTGAGTTGAGTTATAGAAGCACAAAG